TCTTTTTCTCTTTCTTTTCAAACTTCAATTTCGTGTCTGTTATGATTGGAAAATAAATTATTGGAGTTAATCATAGATACTAAGCTGCTGACTTAGGCGATGCTTGCCACCCACCTTGGTTGTCATGATTAAATGTCTCCATATAATATATTTTTATAACCTTTTCTTTTTACTTTTTCAATTATATTTATTCTTATTGTAAATTCTACTGTTATCCCGCATACGAGATATTGTCCGTTTTGATACTCGTTAGGTCGTTACAGTTTTATTCTTGAAAAAGTGCCTGTAGGTCAAAGAGAAAGGGTATTTTATAAACTATCATGCCTCCACGTGACGTGGAACTTTTAAACATACCGAAATAATATTATTATATTACTCAATTATTATATTTTGTTGCAAAAGAGTATATAAATACAATTACTTTAATCCCCTTTTCCAGAAATTGTTCTTTCCTGTTGAACTCGTGGTTCAGTATTCCTCTACCAAAACATTATAAAATGGCAAGAAAAAGGAATAAAATGACAGCCAAAACACATCGTGCAATTCTGGAAACAAATTAATGAAGAAACTATGTTTTTATTTATTTTGTATAGTGATGTTCTAGCTTTAGAAACATGGCCAACGATTAAGAAAAAGTAACTAAATAGGGTTTTAACTTTTAAATATCTAACTAAATATCCAACATATATAATTCTTCCATCTTAAAATCGTTATCATTTTAACAGTTAGTTTATTTTAAATTTATTCTGTCCTGTGCAATGAAAATTTGAAAACACTCTCACAACATATATTACATATACTGCGGCAATTTTTTTTTATATGTAATTTCAACTTAATATCTAAATTATCATTATTAAATTTTTATAAATTTAATACTTTAAGATTTTAAATTAAGATATGATGTTAAGTTCACTTTGTAATATTTACACCTCTTATTTAATAAACATGTCTTTCTTATTTCTCTATTTCTTTTTTTTTTTTTAAATCTCTAAGTAACTTTTAAATTTATTCTTTTTAAAATAAAATTCATTACCAAAATTTATCTTTTTCATTCACCACCTATTCTCCTGCCTCTCTTTCTCTGCTACTTTATTTTTTATTATTTTCTTTTTTACTTTTGTTTTACTTGGTTTCTATCTCCAAAAATCAAGACACTCATATCTTATCTTTATCATTATTTAAACTTATTTTTCACACTTTTAATTTCATCATTCTTCAAATCCTATTTTTTTTCTTCTTCTCCTTTATTTCTTATATCGAATACAAGGTATAAATATGTATTACATTATAATTTTTATCTATAATTTATTTATTATGACATATACGTAATAATGATTGACGTCTTTGGTAATTAGACATGTAAAAAAAATAGTTCATGATTTTTTTTAAGACATTGACGTTTATTTATACAATCCTATTAATTTTATGATAAATGATTGATTAGAATAAATTTAAACTTATTTTTATTATTGGAAAGTAATTTTTATAATTGTGTTTGCATGTTATAATTCTTAAAAGGATTAAATATGTTTTTAGTCCCTCAAATTTATGGTAATTCTGTTTTTGGTCCCTCAAATTTAAAATTGTTGTTTTTAGTCCTTGTAATTTCAAAAAATCTTATTTTAGTCCTTATATTCAAATTTTGTTAAGAAATTTATCAAACATTATTGCATAAAATTTATTTATTAGTATCCTTATCAGTGAAAATATCACATTAAATCTGGTCAATGTTGCATAACTGTATTAATTAGTCATTTTTAAATATGTTATTGGTGACCTAAGGGACTAAAATAAGATTTTTAAAAATTATAGGGACTAAAAACAACAGTTTTAAATTTGAGGGACCAAAAACAAATTTGTCTTAAATTTGAGGGACTAAAAACATATTTAAGCCT